TTGGCTCATTACTATTACATAAAATCTTAACGGATTTACAAATTACAATTTTATTTTCTCTTTTTTTTTGTTGGTGACCCTGTGATTGGTGGGGAAGAAAAAAAAACAGAAGGCTTTTTCCGTTTTACTCCAGTAGGCTTTTTCCGTTTTACTCCAGTGCGTAACATTTTTATTCTTTCATCGTTTAGATCGACAAGCATCTTTTTGGTAGTATTCAACTTTTGAAAAAATCCCAACATGGTGCAATAAGCAATTTCGTTGTTACGAATGTCCCATTTAGATGAAGGTAGAGGTGCCTCATAAGCAAGTATGAGGTGGAACAAACCACCAGCAGATGCAAGTGCGTAAATACGAATTGTGCGGGCTAAAATCATTATATATAATAGAATTAATAGGGTAAACAAGCATGTTATGACTGAAGCCTCATATTAATATCGCTCACCAATAACAGTAAAGCCCCATACGACCAAAGTACTAGCATCTACTCCATTTAGCTGATCTTGAGCCAGAGCCCACACATCGCGCAGTTCCCAGCTGAGCTTAAGTGTATCTATCCACTCTTTGGCACGAGAGCACCACCTGATATCTCGCCACATGCAAGGTCAGGACTCCAATGAAGGCCATGAAACTTGACAAGAACATCTACTCTATATCCCATTCGCGCACGCTCTGTAGATCTCCACCCAAGTTGCGACGTATTGCTGTGACGCGAAGCGTACTTTCAAAACTAATGCATTTTTTGGTATATATGTAAAGAATTGGCTATTTTTTATAAATAATAAATTGTCAAGAGACAACTTACTAGCGTATAACGTAGTCCGGGAAATCTCTGATTGATGCGTCAATGAATGGAATCACATTGCGCATGGTGTGTTCATATTCTGGGATATCATCTTTGTTTGAACAATTTATTGAATCATTTCTAAGAAAAAAATAATGAAAAATAATTAGACGCCATCATCTCCAATAAAAACTTCTATGCCAACTCACATCCTATCAACCAATTTCTTGGCATTTCGTTGTTCAGAAGTACTTGCGCGAACATCTTGTAGGTCCTCTGCCTATATTAATATATCTTAGCAAATATCCACAATTAAGATCTCAAAGAGATGCAATATTATAACTACCACAAGCAGTTTATCAAAAAATTCATCTTGTTCAACTGAAAGACTTGGCAATTCAAAGCTCACGTTAGGTAGTGACTGACGCCTTGATGACATATATCGATTAAGCAATTTTGTAGTTGGCCCGTGTTGACCTGAATGGTCAACAATGTGGTAGAAAAGTGGACTAGAAAACTGTCAATTCAAGTATGGTATGAACAATACAATAATTATGAACTCACTTGTATGTACACCTCCGTCTTCGGTATTTTTAATCGATAACTATTTACTAGCTTCCGTACTTCCGCCCATTCATCTGAAGTTAACGCTTTTACAGTGTCAGCTTCCATCACATGTGGTTTACATAAATCGGCAACATCCACATCGTCTTCATTCTCATATCCATTATCTTTTCCTGAGTTAGAAACGTCATCGTTGTTATCATCGGAAAGGTCATCATCGGAAAGGTCATCATCATCAGAAAGGTCATTATTGGAAAGGTCATTATTGGAAAGGTCATTATTGGAAAGGTCATCGCCGTTGGGAAGGTCATCATCATTGGAGCGTTGTTGTTCAGTTTCAGAGGCCATTAGATCACTAACAACATTGTGCTCCCGTAAAACGTTAACGATAAGCTTCTTATTATGCTTTTCCTAGATTGCAGAACAAGTATTAAATAATTTTTCTAATGACGGACGACAGGTTTAAAATTATTCAGGTTTCGATTACTAACCTTAGAAAGCTTTACATCATCATCCAGTTGTTCTTTCTCCAAAAATTCTCAGTCCTTTTTGACTTGAACATATTCTGTATGATACAAGGGTACATAAGCACTCAATTGTAAACGATAATGACTTAATACCTATTCGTAATAATGATGCCTTACGCGTAGATCTTTAACTAGATATTTCTTTGCAATGTTTGCAGTTTTAGCTGTAGCAGTACGGTGTATATAATCCAAACAATTTCTGAGATCTTCCTGGGCGGCCTCGCGAGAGTCATAGCTGTATCCGTATCTTTTGAAAAAAGCAATGACACTAAGTTTGGATAACCTTTCTTGCACGAATTTCACCTTTTCGGAGTTGGTTTGCATTTTTTGAGATTCTTCAAAAAATCTCGCGTCAACAGTTTATTGTTAGCCGTGTATATATCAACCAGGTGACCAATCAGGTGATTACTAGCAGATCATAAAACTGGCAAATCTAACTTTTTTTAACAATCCGCTCTCCAAACTGGCGTATCTAGAAAGCCTGTTAGTCCTTTAGTTCAAAATCAAACCAGATCACTTGCTGAAGGCTTGGTTTTGGAATGGTTGTGCGACGCGTCTCTGTGAGAAAATAGTGAGAGAAGTGATCTGCCACGCCGTGGGGGTCCTCCCTTGCTATCGCATAACGACCCCAGAGCAAATGCTCAAAGTTTCAGTCTTGGCTGGTGTATCTATAGAACCTGTTAGTCCTTTAGTTCAAAATCGATCAGATCACTTGCTAAAGGCTTGGATTCTGGAATAGTTATTCGACGTCTATTAAAGATGAAAAAATAGTGAGTTGGGTGTTGTTGCCACGCCGTGGGACTTCCCTCTTGCTATCGTATAACGACTTTGAAAATGAGCTCTGTGGTTTCAGTTTTGGAGGTGATGCTTTAAGCGGACGTGTTTTAGATTAATTCATTTTCCAAACTTTACAAACTTTATTGAACATAACGAATCAGGAAATGCTAAAGAAGCGATGATGCTATCAAAGAAGAAGGGAGTACGCGGATCCTAGGCCATTTAGCACATCATGTTATTCTTGCTTTCTCATGTTTACGAAAAATATCTAAGCTAATTTGTTTTTATCACTAACTACAAGATTCTCGTCCCTATACTCTTTTTCTACACTAGATTTTCGAAATAACTTTTCCCACATACAAAATTTTCGTACATCTATATCCCACCCACACAAATTATATAGAAATTATCGATTTTAGCTAAGTTTCGCAATAGAACTTCCCAGAAATGAAATAATTATGAAGAATCCTGAAGATTAGCAACGAGATAAAAAAAAAGAGGTATCCGATTCACACTTACTCATTTTATAATATTCCACACCGTTCTCATAACCAATAATAATAATATAATTTTTATTGTAAGTTCGATACTGCGCCAAATGTCACTGGAAAGATAATTAATACTGCGCTGATTAGACACATGACAATGATCACGGCATATGCGAAGAAAGGTAATATACCCGCTTTATCTTTGAGCATCTATAGAGCTGGAAAAACAATTAGCGTTATGATAACGATTTTCTAGAACTAAGCTAAGAAATCAAACAAACTTGTTATTACTTTGCAGAATACACTTGTTTGATTGATTGTGATATTGGTTGATGTAATAATGATAAGTTTGTATATTTCCTTTTGCTTTACTTGATGCCTGGAGGATACCAAATGATTGCAATGGAATACATCGAGGGTACCACACTACACAATTTTTTTAAACGCGATCCTGCCATAACCACCAGTATCTATGAAGATTTAGAGAAAGCTATATAACACAGGTGCTTCATCCTCGGGAATTAGTCTTTGCAGACCTCCGACCACCAAACATCCTGGTTGTCACCCGGGATGGCAAGCATCGAGCAATGCTCATTGATTTTGATTGGTGCGGCAAAGATGGCATAGACACTTATCCAAGCTCAATGAACATGGATCAGATTACTTGGCCTGAAAGAGTGATACCTGGCACTGTCCTCAAGAAGGAAGATGACAAGTTTATGCTTGATAAATTGAAGTATTCTCTTAACCTGTAATTATATCTCTTGTTTCATAGTCAGATCTTGCATGTGAGAAGTGCAAACTAAAAAAGAATGTTGGACCACATAACATTATATCATGTGATTTAATATGCTAATCCCAACAGTATTAACTAGACATTGCTGTACATATCCACACTCGAACTGATAGAATATTACTATAATAAAAAGACATTACTGTGTCAGAATGGATCTGCAATATAAATTTGAGATGTGCGTTCTGACATTTAGCTTTAGTAATTCTAATAGTTTTTCAACAGAAACTGCAGTCAATCGATTAAAATTTTAATCAACACAATTGTCAAAATTAAGGCACATGAATTATAAAACTAATATATAGGAATACCCGTATATGGAAAATTATAATTATAATGGTTCAAACGAATATGAAAAAGCCAGGCGTTTCTTGGAGATAGGTTGTAATTGTGGATGTTCGCAAATGATTCCGAGAGAAAAGTTTGCCGAATTACGTGAGGCGTTTCAAGCTCTCTCTAGATCTGAGCAAGATATATTTTTAATGGCCCAGTTGAAAG